AGCATGTAACTTTTTTCAATTTTATTAGAATCTATAAAAATCTAAATAAATACAGAAATCGTAGTATGAAGCTTCCCTATAGTCTACAGTACCTCCTACTGTTGCACGTATTGTATAAGACAAATTATTAAAAACAGAAACTCCTTTTGCTCTTATAGATTTTGAAGAAGCCTTCGAGCGCTTTCATATGCACAAACTATTTAACGTTATGGAAAAAAAGTGAATACACAGTACACCTGATAAGAACAATCAAAAGTGCGCAGAAATATAAATATTACTAATAAAATGGAGTCAAACAAAACAAGCTAAGGATAAAACAAGATTGGTCTAAAAGTGAGTTACAAAGAGCCATCTATAGACTATTGATATTACCAGCCTTTTCATCAATGTACCTTTGGTAAAACTTCAAAAATAATAAGAATCAAATTGGAGATGGATGATACAGTGACAAAAAATATGTCAGATAGACATGTTCAGAACTGAATATGTCAGATATAATGGAGCCATTAACTTAATAAATAAGATTTTGGATTAGCATGGACTCTTCATTATCTCCATTATTAGCAGATCCCACGGTATGGTAGAGATATGTGGATGATGTGTTCTCCATTTTGCCTCATGGACCAGAAGTACTGGATAATTTTTTGATGGACATCAACTGTAAAGAAGAATCAACCGAATTGATTATGAAAAAAGAAAACAATAAACTCTTTTCTAGATATGTTAACCACAAAGGAGGATATATTTTCTCCCAAACCACAAAATAAATATCAAATAATTATTAGATAGAGCACAAAACACCTGCTACACCAAAATGCATTTCAGGAAGAAAAAATCTGCTAACAAAGGTTTAAAAAAATTATTGTCCATTTATCCAAAAGCAATCCAGAAAAGCTCAAAATAGATTTGAAGATGACGACAATACCATATGTAAAAGGCGTATCAGAAAAATTTCAAAGGGGAGTAAATAAATACAATATCCCAATATTTAAAACAATACACTGAGGTCTATTCCGTCCAAAACCAAACCAAGCAACACACATAAGAGATTAAAGAACTGTATCTATAAAATACCTCGTGAATGCAACAAGTTTTATGTGGGAGACTTCTCAAGTCCACTAGGTGTTAGGATAAATAAGCATGACTCACATCAAAAACAGAAACTTTGACAGATCCCAGAAAAGCAAACATGCCTGGGACAATGAGCACAGTGTACAATGGAGAAATGCATCAATAGTCATGTAGGGAAAATACAGCAAAAAGAGGAAAATCAAAGATGTAGCCCTCATATTACTTATGAAGAAAAACGTATTAACAGAATGTAGCAGGCTCTGGATACTAATACTAAAAGAAGAATTCAGCAACAAGAATATGCTAACAATAAAGGATTAATAGAACGTCAGAGATACATCATCTAAAATCGAGGTACGACATCACCCACAAAATTTCAACTAAAAACATGGCTGTTTGACTACAAGATCGAGGCCAAGTAAGCCACCTGTGAATTAATAAACAACTAAAGGTTAAAATGACTTCTTATAATAATATTCTTTTTGACAACGATTTCCGGATTAGAAATTTGGAAAAAATAAATGTACAATGTAATTTTTATTACAATCAGTTATGGGTTAATCCCATACAAATATTTTGATGCCTGTATGATTCTCAGCTGTTTCGTGCCAGTGACTGTTCGGATCCAGATTTTTTTTTGGGTCACGGACTGTCCTTTCTGATCCTCTTCTTTAAAGTCTATTAGTTTTTTCATTGCTATGCGTTTCCCGTTGTCTTGGAACCCATACGAGTATGACACTGTTACGATCCGCTAGTTTATCGAGTTCTCGACATTTCCAAACTAGTCTAAGGGAAACCAGAGCCGCTTTACGACTTTTGCATATTAACCCGCTTAAGTTCGAAAGTCTCCATGTTAATTTCTCTTGCACAATGCAAAATTGCATAGATAAAGATATAGATAAACATTGTATTGTACAAAGATATATTCTCCTAGCGGAAGAGAAATATTTTACATTTCCACCAATACTCTATATTTCTACATCTGACCGTTGTACACTTTTAGACCCTCAGGTATAACTCTGCAGCCTGAGTTGTGTGTTTTCTCTAGCCAATCCTTCTGATTGGTAGATGTTTACCTGGGAAGGTACTTTAGGCCTGTGTCTGGGTACCACATTATGGTCAGAAGTCGTTTTCCATATTATTGTATCCCTAATTTGATTTATGATGTCACTGAATGTTAAGTAGTAATCAGCTTCTCTAGACTAAGTCAAGCTTTGTAACTAATTAATGTAACATGGCTTAGAGTTCTTGAAGTCAGAATATTGTTTACACAACAAGAGCGTGTCTTTCAAAATCGCAGTCGCTTTACATTCCACGAGAAACACAAACAAAAAACATATATAATATTTTTGTAATTCACAAAACCCAAATAAGTAATAATACACGCGATTACTGTTAGACCTTTAAAATGGGGAAGTGCAAATTTTCCGATTTCAAATCAGTGTAACCCAGATAAGCTTAATCTGCGGTTTAGGTCTAACACCCTATATATAAATGCACGGGTTATGTGTCATGTTATATATTTATTATTGGATATACTACAAATACATGTTTTTTTTAGATTCTAGTTAGTTGTGTATGTTTAGTCGTATGATAACAATATCTTATGTCTTATAATTTGCATTGAAATAATGTGTACTTAACAATCACAGCTTATTTCTTTTTGCACTAACCTTAGATAGCCTAAAATATATAATATATGTTGTAAATTTGTAAATAAATGCATCGCAATGTAGTAGTTAAAAATTTGTAAAACATGTCGGGTGGTGGGATTAAATTATTTTAAAGTCGAAATCAATTGGCACATCTACAAAGAGAAATTTATTGCATTGATCCTACGCCGTAAATTGGTAATTAGCGATTAAAAAAAAAAGGAATTTATCACATTATTGTATTCAAGAAATTATTTTTATTAACACTTTTAACTAATTACTAGTACTAGTTCCATATTATTTTTTTAAAGGTATATCGAACAATTTTTCTATTTGTGTAGTAAACGAAAATGCATAATGGAAACATTTATACGTATTTCAAGGCATTTACAAAAAATATTACTATTTCAGTTCCAAAGCTTTGTTTGTTAAAATTTAGTTCAAAGAGATTATTATCAACTTTTCTATTTTACCTTTTCGATAAACTTCAAACTTTCAGCAACCAAATTTTATCAACCGTTGGTATTTGCGAATTCTTGGGCCTATGTTGAACATGACCCATTTTTTTTTATTATCCGCATCAGCCGTGCAAGATTATTGCGGAATAATTTTTTCAAGGTTGATGCGGATGATCGTAAAATCTTCTTCATTGTCATTACAAGGAGTGGTTTATTATATCCGAACGAGTACGCCACCAGAGACGGATACGAATCCGATGAACATGAAAATATATCTTTTTAACAGAAAAATTATCAAACTAGTTCATATTGGAATCCCTCTCGGAATTCGCTCATGGTCACTGCGATATCAAGGCGTTATTTCTTTTTCTATAGATTTTTACATTTAACAAATATTTTAATACATACATCCGTCTTATACCTAGTTTTTTAATTTATAATATATATCTTCTGAGGGTTGTCTTTTTAGTTGTGTATATAGCTATAAAGAAAAAAAAATATATAGACTTAAAGTACTTTCTTGCTTTTTAAAATATATTCAACCAAGATAGATATACTTTTGCACACGTTTAAAGCAATTGGTAAAACAGTTATTCCAGTCTTCAGTTGACACCTGAAAAAATTGCTGTTTTAAAGGCATCGATTTCTTCTTCTGGCGACTAGAATCGCTGTCGACGTATTGAATTCTTGATCTTTGGAAACGTGAAGAAGTCGTTGGGACTTAAATCGGGGCTATACGGTGGAAAGTATAAAAATTCAATGTTTTGAAGCTCCAAAAACTCTATTGTATTTTGGGCAGTGTGAGCACTTGCTTGTCCTGGTGTAGGATGATTGCGTGTTGCTTTGTCTGAGTTTTGCGATAACTTTTGACAAACAAACGAATATATACCAATCAGAAGTAACCGTTCTTCGATCTTCTAAAGCCATTGTTGCCACATGACCAGATTTTAACACAAAAGTTGCGACCCATTTCTTTGACACATTTCGAGAACGAATCACTTTTGTTGGTTTTCCTCATCGTGGAACACCCACATAGCAGATTGACGTTTATTTTCTAGTTCGTAGGAGTAATCCAAGATTTATCGCCACTAACAATACTATAAACGTTTTTTGAACTCCCTTTGTTGAACCGTTCCAATGTTTTTCAGAGATCCAACGGGAAACCAGCTTCGTAACACCCAGTTTTTTATGTAGGATTTTTTGGATTGAGGTCTTTTAAATGCCAAAAGATGCCTCTATCTCCCGGTATGTTACATTGCGGTCATCCTTAATTCGCTGACGAACCACATCAATGTTTTGCTGTATTACTGCTGTTCTGGGTGGACCTAGCCTGAATTCATCGCTGATGAATTACTGCAGCGGGAAATAGTTGACTGAATTTCAGCGAGGCCTTGCTGTTGGGATAGAGTCCTCTCCGAAAATTATAAAAAATTATTGCTCGAAAATGTTCTTGGCTAAGATCCATTTTTCGATCGAATTGCTTATTTCAAAAATTCACTCAAAAAACCTCGTATGCCTCCCGAATTCAGGAGTTTCCGAAACATCCAGATTTCTCCCACTTTGGATTTGGACACTGTATGTGTCTTTTGGACACTGTGCTTGTTTTGGAATTGCTTGAATAGCGTATTAAATTATAACATTCTTATTTCACATAATATTTTACAACAATTACTTTCGCTCAATTTTTACATAAAATAAAATATACCTACATATTTACATTTAATTAGCTTTTTTGACAAATTAAAATGTGCCAATAGTTTTCTTAATAAATAAAGTGTTACAACAAAATAATGTTCTAATCTTTAATTTTTTTATTTAGTTCGGTGAAAAAGGATCTGGTACACGCACAAAAAGTGGAGATTCTCAAGATTTTTATACGCTACGTGATGAATGCTTAGCAAATGGAACACTCTTTGAGGATCCAGAATTCCCTTGTAATGATTCATCGTTGTTCTTCAGTCAAAGACCTGACAGGAATTATGAGTGGAAGCGACCCCATGTAAGTAATTTTTCGTGTTTTAATTTTAATTTTGATTATGATCCTTTTAATTAAATTTAAATAAATAAATTTAAAGTTTAAATAAATAAGTTTTAATTAAGTTTAAATAAATAAAATTCGGGTAACGGGTAGGACCTCTTTTTAGATAGTTCTATCAAGGAAAGTGGATCAGTCCCCGCCTTCCGCAGATTGCAGGTGTTTCTTGACACGGTAATCTAGTACTTGTTAAGGGTCCCTCGTACAGAGTCACGGTTTAAGTCCAAAACGGCGTCCATGGCGGAGAAGAAAGTCTTCACACGGTCTGGAGGGTAAAGGTGGCAGCCCCCTAGTTTTAAGGCTATTATAAAATTAAAAAAAGGGAAGACCGATCTTCTAGAGCAGCAGACAACGAAATCAGTCTAGGAGAGATACTTTCCGATACTCTTAAATATACCTACCTAAATATCACAAAGGTTAAAACTTCCAGAAACTTCTAGATATCTCACAAAAAATTAACGACAATTTCGAAAACAAAAAAAGCTAACGTGGATATTTTAGTATTTACTGAAACCAAAAATAAGGGATAAAGTCAGATAACCTAGGATAATACCACCATTTTTTTTTCTTTAAGATAAAAGAGTCCAGCAAGGAGTGTCTATACTTATTCGAAAAAATCTACGAAGATACGTAACATCCTGGGAAGCAGTGAACCAGCGCATCATTAAAATCATTTAAAACTTGCTACCAGGAAGTAAAGTCCCATCTCACCAAAGTAAAGACGATTTCTTTGAGAAACTCTCATACGAAATCTCACAAATAGAAAACGCGAGACAAATCATTGACTGATCTGGTACAGGTCAGACCTGGTAGGAGATCTAAATACTCGTACAGGAAAAAAGTATAAAGATAATATAGTTGGCCATTTCGTGGAAGACATTCTAAATCGCAACAAACACATGTTAATTACCATATGTGGCCAAAACAACTTACGAATCCTCAATAGTTTTTTTCAACATCGAGAAATACATCAATTTAGTTGGGTACAACAAACAAGAAGCTCACGGTACGAGATGTTTAAGTATATAGAGGTAGCACATGTGGAAGTGATCACCTCTTGGACAAACCTAAAATAATTTTCATTCGACTAGCCAAGAAAAAAAAATGCGCAGGAACAAAACAAAGTAACTCTGGAAATTAAGTAAAATTTGGAAACCTTTAACAACGAAAGCTCAAAAATACTGTAAAAAAACGACTAAATGAAAAATTCGTGTGTGAAAAATTTGATAGTGTAGAGGATCATTACAACTATATAAAAGAATGTTTAAAAGGTGCAGCAGAATAAGCGTTGGGTAAATATGAAAATAAAACAAATAAAACAAAAATAGATCACATAGATACCAGCCGCTTACAAGATCCAACAATTAAAGAAGATTTAAAACATATCAATGATAACTTACGAATGCTTTCTACAAAGACAGAGAACACGCATGTAGAAGACAAGTGGCAAGATTTAAAAGACGCCATAATAAAACCTGCCCAGAAAATGCTTAACAAAGAGAAACAGAAAAAAGGACGAGAATGGATAACAGAAAAAATTTTAGGTCTCATGGAAGAGCGAAGACAGTTAAAGGGAAAATGCAGCCAAAAATATAATGAAGTAAACAAACAAATCAGAAAATAAATAAGAACTGCAAAGGAAATTTTTTATGCAAGAAAATGCGAGGAAATCGAAAAACTACATCTCAAACATGACACTTTTAACTTACTTAAAAGAAAAAGGAACTGACAGGTACACAAAAACGAAAACATCCCAATCTCCTATGCAACGCAAATGGTGAAATAATAGCCGATCTACAAGAAAAGCTTAGGACCTGGAAGAACTATGTAGAAGAATTGTTCGACGATGAAAGACAAGAACCTAATATAGATAACTTGCAAGGCGACGAAGGACCAGAAATAACTAAAGAAGAACTATTATACGCTATAAAAATAATGAAAAATGGTAAATCACCGGGTCCAGACGGGCTCACATCAGAACTTCTTAAGCTTGTGGAAGGCGAATCAGTGAATATTCTACTCGACCTTTTTAACTGCATCTACAAAAGAGGAGAAATACCAAAGGAATGGCTACTTTCAACTTTTGTAACCTTACCAAAAAAGGCAAATGCAAAACAGTGCACTGACTACCGCACTATAAGCTTAATGGGGCATACATTAAAAGTATTCATCAAAGTAATCCACTCAAGAATTAACAGAAAACTAGATGCAGATATTAGTAATACTCAATTCGGATTTCGGAACGGGCTTGGAACAAAGAAGCACTATTTGCACTTAACGTCATATGCCAAAGATGTCTAGATATAAACCAAGATATATATATATATATATATATATATATATATATATATATATATATATATATATATGTGTGCTTTATTGATTACAACAAAGCGTTTGATAAAGTTCGTCACGATCACTTAATGAAACTGCTAGTAGAAAAAAACTTGGATAAAAGGGACATTAGAATTATCTCTAAGATTTACTATAACCAGAAAGCAAATATCCGAATAGAGCAGGAAACAACGGAGGAAATCGAGATCAAGAAAGGCGTAAGACAGGGTTGTATACTCTCACCGACCTTATTCAATCTATACTCCGAAGACATTATAAACACAGCACTTTCGGATCAAAATATAGGTATTAAGATAAATGGCATCCGAATAAACAACTTGAGATATGCCGATGACACGGTACTACTCGCAGAAACTTGGGAAGATCTTTAAATACTAATTAACAAAATAGTAGAATGCAGTGAAGAACACGGATTATCACTTAACATAAGCAAAACAAAAATAATGCTAATATCTAAATCACCACAAAACTTCCCTGACATAACCGTGCATGATCAAAGAATCGAACGTGTAAGAAGATATAATTACCTGGGAACTGTTATCAACGAAAATAATGATTGCTCTGAAGAAATCAGAACCAGAATAGAGAAAGCTGGAGCCACATTTACTAAATTGAAAAAGGTGTTCTGTGGAAGAGATCTAAGTCTAAAACTTAAAAATCGCCTTTTGAGATGTTACGTTATGTCAGTTCTCCTCTACGGGATGGAAACATGGACATTGAAAAAGATCGATACCAAAAACATAGAAGCATTTGAGTTGTGGATGTATCGTAGAATATTAAGAATACCCTGGACAGAGAAAGTAACAAATGTGGAGGTTTTGCGGAGAGTGCGGAAAGAGAAAGAGCTGATACTTACTGTTAAAAAGCGCAAACTACAATATTTGGGCCATGTTATGAGGGGAGATAAATACCAGTTGCTGCAATTGATTATACAGGGAAAGATAATGGGAAAGAGATCTATAGGAAGAAGAAGGCATTCATGGTTGAAAAACTTGAGAGAATGGTACAATTGCACCAATTACCAACTGTTTAGATCTGCAGCATCAAAAATACGCATAGCTTTGATGATAGCCAAACTTCGGAACGAAGACGGCACTTGAAGAAGAAGAAGAAATATGAAAAGGCAGCACAAAGAAAGCCCTATTGGTGAGATGAAGAAAACGGAGAAAAAATAAAAATCAAATATGATAAATACAACATTTCTGAATGTAAAACCGGATCAAAGAAAACACGAATACAAAGTAGAAGTGTATACACAAGTGAATACAAAGCAGAAGTATCTAAAACTGGAAAGTACTTAAATCTCTTTGAAAAAAGAAAACACTAAAGATATAATCTCTCCTATTAGCTTACGTGAATGGGACGAATACGTTGAAACACTACTAATAAAGAAAAGGACAGAATATCTACAAACACCACAAACACACCCTTATGTACAAGTAAATACAATAGCATCTCCACTTAGAATTGATAGTAGAGAGTAAAATAAGTATGTCAACTGTTAAAAAACAAAAAATCATCAGGTTCAGACAATATTTCATCCAAACTACTAAAATTCAGAACCGACAAACTATACAGGCAGCTAACCAATGTATAAAAATTTAAAAATGGGGAGAATAACCTGGAAGGGTCGAGAACATCGGTTATATCAACCTTTCATAAAAAGGGACCTAAAGACGTATGTGACAAATACCATTGTACTGAGGAATAGCAGTGTTAGGCCCTATCTCGAGAGTTTACGAAAATTAATAAAAAAGAGAATGGAGGGAGAATACAGTGATATGGAGGCTGAAGAACAGGCTGACTTCAAAGCAGGTAGATCGACTATTGACCATATTTTTTTACGATTACCCAACTTATAGAAAAAAAAAACGGCACACAACCAAGTAATACACCTCCTATAAGTAAATCTTCGAAAATCATACGACAGTATACTACAACAATAACTATGGGCAGCTTTAGAAAAAGCAAACAACACAAGCAAAATAAAGTTGGGCCAAGCGATATTGAAAGGATTTGTGGTAGACAAAGGACTCAAACAAGTATGATGTCTGTCCCCGAGTTTGTTTAAGATCGACTTGGAGCAAGCGCTAAAGACGTGTAAAAGGAAATGTAGTGGTATGGGAATCTATCGAAACGACACCACATTGTACACACTAGGCTTTACAGGCGACCAAATAATTTTGGCTTAGAAATACGAGTATCTATTATATATGCCACGCAAAGTTATTCAGGAATATTAGAAATGGGGTTTAAGAGTAAATATCATAAACAAAGTACATGTATATAGGAGGACAACAAGAAAATCCAATGTTGGAAGAGCAACACCCACAAATAAATCACTGCATAATGTATAAATATCTAGGCATACACATAACCAATGACAGATGGATGAACAGATTAAACACAGAAATAACCAGGAAAGACAAGTCATACGGCAATTGAACATCTTACTGTGGGATAAAACAATTTCGAAAGAAAATAAACACAGAATCTATAATAGCATTGTTACATAGGGAAGCGAAATATGGTCACTGAAGGAGAAAACCATCAAAACTTTGGAAGCGACAGCAACGGATTCTTGGAGGAAAGTGGCCGGCAAATCAAGA